AGTCACTGTGGATGACTCTGCTTAGTGCTTAACTGTTTAAAAAAGCCTCTAAAAAAGCACCCTCTACAGGAGGAGGCAAGAGAACAACATGCCTCATCTACGTCAGGAATTTTTCGGCTTTTAACCCTTGGTTAATACTGCTCGAGTGATCATAAAAACTCAGACTAGATGAGGCATGTCATTCTCCTGCCGCCTCCTGTAGAGGGCACTTTTTTAGAGGCTTTTTTAAACAGTTAAGCACTAAGCAGAGTCATCCATGGTAACTGGCAGCAACTAGCTCAGCCTGATCTCAGCTCTTGCCTTTTTCCTTTTACATTTTCTTTTCTTTTCATGATGACAGTGATGAGGCTCTGCCTCCCCTGACTGCACGTCCCTGCCTTGGTGTTATTGGTGTTAAGAACCAAGTTATTATCTCCATACCATGAAAGCAACCAGTTCACCTCATCTCAGTAGGCAGATTCATTACCCCCACCCCCACCCGAGATGAACACAGCCATTTGTTTAACAATTATTCGAAGTTACAACAGTGCGGAAAAAAGCTATTTACAGTTGGTCCTCGTACTTATTATTACAGTGGCCCATGGTCACAGGATCATGATCTAGGTGCTTGACAATAACTGGCTCACATTTACCTGTTTGCAGCATCCCGGGGTGACGTAATTGCCATTTTTTACCTTCCCAGGAGGTTCCCAACAAACAAAGACAAATAATGGAAATCAGATTCACTTAAAAACAATAACAAAAAAAAAAAGATCATAAACTGGATTGGATTCACTTAACGACTCCCTCGTTTAGTGATAGAAGTTCTGAACTCAATTGTGATGTAAGTCAAGGGCTCCCTGGAGCTCTGTGGTCAAGCTTTTATCAAGCAAAATGAAATGAATCTGCTGACTTGAATGAAGGCATTGTAACATTTAAATGTCCAAATTTGGCTGCTTCTTCCTGTTCTTCTTTTTAACCAAATAACCAGCAGAATTGAAATTAATTCTTTTTTCCCCTTTCTTTCATTCCCAAACAGCAGCCAACGCATCCTGTCTACAACATCTCCCCTGGCAAAGTGATGCAAGCTGTGATGCACTTCCTGAAAAAGCCAATTCCAACTACTAGAGAAGAGACTTTTACTAACTGAGCCTTTTCGCTGCCCTTAGAGAGACTCTGCAGTGTACTGTCCTGATGTTCAGCGCAATAATGCTGCTGCCTATCGTCTTGGATGATGTGGGACTTGAGCCATGAAGCTAACTTGCTTGGGCTCTACTTTGTGCGTGCGTGTCTGTCTTTTGAGAGAGCTTTGCTAGCCATACCAAAAATATACCAGTTTTTTAAAAGAACGGAATAGCTGATTGGCTCTGTGATGGTGTATGGTTGGTCATGCTGGGTGCTCACTTAGGCAGGAAGCTCTCTCATTAAGGAGCAGCTTTGTTTTTGAAACAATGCAGCATGTTACTATCGTAAGCATCTGGCAAAGCAGCTCTGTTGTTTCATTTGCACTATGCTAAGCATCATGGGGGTGGGAGGATTGGGGGTGAGGTGGGGTGGGGGTGCAGCTTCATCATCAGCTGCATACTGGCTTGGCCAGAGATGGTACATTGATCTCCTGCTCTGGAAAGCAGTTTCTTTATTTGGCTATTTACATTCCCTGAGGAATTCTAAACATTTCTAGCCAGGAGATTAGTTTCCCAGCTATTGGATACATCAAGAGAAAGAAAACCAAGCCAAATGGTGTATGCATATCCTGAGTATGTAGTTCTGTATCACATGTTGGAGCACGCTGGGGAAGTGTGGTCTTGAACATTGGTACTTTTTGCCTAGAGCAAAAAGAGGGAGATAAGGATGCTTCTGCAAGATTTTATTTCCCTTGCAAATTGCTTGTCCAGGGATGGGATTGATAATACAATGATGTTTATGCATTTTATAAGATATATACAGTATATATAAATAAAACTATACAGTACATTCAGAAAGTATTCAGACC